ATGCGATTAAAAACAGCCTGTAAAAGTACAATTTCTAATCTACTGCTCAGTCTATATATGGTCAAATCCTGGACGTCATTGGTAGGGCACATCAGATGTGCCAACATGGCTCTCTTAGTAAATTGGAACTTTGAGCAATACTTTGCCTTGGACTCTGATTTACTTTTGGATGCTATTTGGAACCCTGACTGCCAATTTAACAAACGGTTCGGTGAGCGTGTGCTTTGTGTGCATGTGAGCTTTGCATGTGTGTGCAGCAGTGAAAATGGAGCATTTAGAAGCTCGGCTGCTTACCTCCCAAGTCAGCAATGGTAAGTAAAACAGTGAGGGGGGCAATCAGCTGTGCTGCGTGATTGAGATGAGCTAGAAAGCAGGAAATAAAGGACAGGTGAGGGCAGGGGGTGGGCCAGCTGATTGTAGGAACTATCAGTTTGCCCAAACCAGTCCGAACTGGCTGAATACCGTCAAAAGATGGAAAAACAGGCCCGAACCATGATGCTGTTCACCCCCGGGTTTTACAGATGGGATACGGCTGGAATGTAGAGTTTTCTTTTGTCAAACATGCTTTTCATTCAAATGCAAATTTTTATTTTTGGTTTCATCTATCCACAGAACATTTACCAGCAGCCTTGTGACTTACCCATGTGATTTTTCTCACACTGTAGCTGGGCAGCAATATTCCTTTTGGAGAGTAGTGCCTTTCCCCTTGCAACCCTGATGTTCTCCTGATGGTGATGTCACAAACACTGATATTTGCCATTGCAAGAGAAGCCTTTATTTTCTTAGACATTACTTTGAGCTCCCTTGAGACCTCCTGGAATATTATACATTTTGTTGTGATCTGGTTGATCAGCTACTCCCGGGGAAGAGAACAAATGATGTTGAACTGCCTCAGGGGTGGGTTCCAGAAGTCACTACTGCCGGATTGCTCATGGGTGCACCATGTGCGTACATGATACGCGCTGTGTGCGCATGCACAATACAATAAAAATTGTTCTGCGCAGAAGCAAAAAACAAGATGGCGGCACCTACGGTGCCACCTGGAGAACCGGTTCAGGAGGATGGCAGGCCTGGGTCACTGCCTGTTCCAACGCCACAGGCTGCCAAACCACTACTGGTTTGGCCAAACCGGTCCGAACCGCTAGGAACCTACCACTGAACTCCCTCCATTTGTACACTATCTGCCTAACAGTGGTATTTTCAGCCTGAGAGACCGCCTGCTGCCAATTACCTCCCAAAGACCCATTAGATTAAGGTGACCAGATTTTCAGATTGGAAAAGAGGGACACCCTTGACCGGGGGGGGGG